CTCTATTTCCTCTTATATTATGTTTCCTTTCTCCTCTATTCATTATGCACTACTGCTTTCCAATACATATTTCATATAGCACACTCTTAAACTTTTAAAATATCACTATATACCATTATTCTCTAAAATGAAAATATGAATAAACAATGACACATAATTTTCCATCATGGCATATGCAAGAAATAATTTCACTTCCCAAATTACCTTCATTTCCCTTCTAATTTAATGATTATCACTCTCCAAGTGTTAGTATTGAATCTATAGAATAAATACTAACATTATATATATAATATAAACAGTTATTAGTCATAAAATTGGGGAACTGGGCAAAACACAGAGCAGCAATGTTGACTCCTTGAAGCTTTATTGTCGTGTTTCAACCCGAGTTTTAAACTAAATGAGTCCTGAGGGACACCGCAGTACTGTACTTAATGGGATGGTGTGGCGCTAAGATTAACTAACTCCAATAAAATTAATTTATAATATTGGAATTAGTTCATTTTACCGCCACACCACCCCATTAAGTACTGTACTGCGGTGTCCCTCAGGACTCATTTACGTAGTTTAAAACTCGGGTTGAAACACCCTCTTCAAGGGAAGATTTTGTTTAATAATACGTGCGTGTGTGTTTTAATGGCAGGAGCTTCAGCTTGCCCCAGTCGTCGCTAGGTGGCAGCATCTACTGGGCTGGCGCATAATTCAAACCCTGAAGTACTGTAGTCTAGTTACGCATTAACAGAAAGTTTTTTTTACGAATGTGGACTAAAGTCGATTTACGCGGCAAAGGAAAATATAAAATTGAATAAAGTTGAGCCATGCGCTGAAAGGGTTAAGGTTCAGTCACACAGCTGTCAGAATTATTATTTTAGTCAGGTTAGTTCTTGGCCTTTATTTTATCTTATTTTGCAAAGGTTGTTCAATTTGCTAACAACCCATTCCCAAGTCCAAAATGGCTGCCAGTACATCAGAACTGTTTATGGTGAAGCTTTGTCAAGAGGGGAGCATAATTTCACAGCAAGAGACAAAATCCATCTGCATTCTTGCTATGGTAGGTTTCTTAGGCCACTGGATGAAGTCTACATTTTTTTAGCCAGGTATTTCAGTGGTTTGGCCTACGGGAACACTAAAGATTAGTCTTTTGAACTTTGCTTGAGAGGAGTTATTTGTTTTACAAAGAGCTAACTTCTCTTTTATTTAAGACGGAAGTATTTTGAAGACATTGTAAGAGGATTATAATTAAGTTAGCTTTTGTTGCTCATAGTAAAGTTAAGGGTTCACAGATGGTACTCTGTGAACAAAGGTGTTTGGTCCCAAACTTTAAAAAAAAAATTATGTAACCTTGAAGGATTTCTCTTAGGGAAGGTACAGTTTGTGGAGTATACTACATCCTCTCATTGTCTAGCTGACTTTAGTTGTACTGTACAAGTCACCTAAGAGAGGCAATAATTTGTGAATGGTGGATTGATCTTGAAAAACCATTTATGATCTGAGCCTATAGCTTAGTGGCTCAAATATATTTATTCTCCTTATAGGTAAAGGATAGTTAGAAGGAAATAAATGGGTTTGGCACCTGAAATCCAACATGGCAGGCCCTGTCAACTAACAGCCACTACATGTAGAATCTTGTGATACAACTTGGCTTAGCAGATCTCCTGCTTTGAGTGGTGATGGTTCTCCCTTTTTTAAGTAACAATAGTTGCAAAGAGGAGGGATGGGCTAATCATCAGACTAGGGTCTTCTGGGTCTTCAGCTCCTGACCCAGTGACCACTTTATATGACCCATCTAGCTACAGGCTTGGTTATATAAAGGGATTTCTGGAATGTTGCATCAGTTATTGATTTATAAAATTTAGCAGATTTAGTTTGTGTAAAATAATTTATAAGTAGTTATTATTTCATTGTAATCTTCCAATACAAATAATATTTTCAATAACAAAAACAAAAGAGTGTCCAATAATCTTTAATGTTATTGATATTGTAGTTTGATTGTGAAAAAAATTGCCTCACAAATTATCGCAGTACAGGAAGTAAATGCACGTCTCTGGCATGATGAACAATTTCACGTAGAATCATTTATGAGAGCATCCACCAATAAACACCAATCACATCTGGCTATGTTGATTTGAATTAACTGAAAATAGGAATATGAATCAGGTGAAAAATTATTAGGTTTGACAGGTTATGAATGCAATTATGAGAACAGTTTTTTTTTCTGCTTATACTGGCAATATTTTGTGAAAGATTCTTAAAATAAAACAAGTCTTGAAATAATGAATTGTACTGTAGGGTTCATGACACTAATTAGGCAGTGAGCAAAAGTGACTTTGCCACCCCCCCCTGAGTGCTCAGGTTACAAGCTATAAAGTTGTATGAATTTTAGATGTAGAGGTTGTGTTGGTGGTGTTGTTGCATAAATAACCCTACTGGTGGATGTAGTGGTTGTAATTGTTCATATAGAAGCTGTTGTTGTTGTTGCTATCATTGTAGATATTGTGGTTGTTATATGTGTGTTTTTTGTAGTTATAGCTGTAACTGTGTTTTCATTGGTTATAATTATGAGTCATCACAGTGTGGTTCTAACACTTTTATTTTTTCTAACTGTGGTATAGATGTTAAATGCTGTTTTGTTGTTTTGTACTGTACTGTGTGTTGCATTTGTATAATTATAAAACAAGTTATCACTGAAAGTTTCATTTACTTATTGTTTCATTGTAAGTTCAAGATGAAATAAGCACAAATCATCATCTCATGTTTTTTTTTCTTTTAAGATTTATCTTGTATGTAATCCAGTTTCCTCCTTTATACAAGAGTACTGATTATATTTGTATGCTGACCATTACACATAACCCAACAGGTCATGGGGTTCAATAAGTCATGGAATGTAGGCTCTGAGTTTACCACACATTATGCAGTGTACACTTGTACCATAGTTATAGTAGTTAAAGAATCAGGTTTTGGTAAATTACTTGGTAATTCTCAATGGGTAAAAAGTAAGTCTTGTACAGTACTGTGATATAATTTGTACTTATGTAAGTATTGTATCTGAATTGCGCTTGTTTCATTCTAAAGATAAGCACAGACCGTAGTTGATATGAGTATATTGTATGGTCCTCTCTCTTGATATGATTTTTTCCTTTCAATAACCATCTGCAATAATGATATATTCTCTCTAATTTATGGAAATAACATATCTATTGATTTATTCTCCTTTGTTTATCACCTGAACTTTTCTGTAGCACTTGTTACTGTTTTAATGGTTATGAATACTATTTGGACAACCTGTACATAATTTCCTGTTTTTTGTATATTACTGATAATTTGGTTATATGAAATAGATTTGTCTGTTGGATTAAATGACAGTATCAGCAGTCATTATTTTATACATGAACTAAATCCAGTTATGTACTTTATGACTTTTTAAACTGCTCTACATTTTCACAATACAGGTACTGTATATGTATGGACATAATATCTTCAAGTTCGTGTTTACATAACTTGTCATATATGTAACCCAACAGTTTAACATTTATGTCTGCTGAGACAAGTCTTATAATCATTGGTATTTAACAGTTCCTTTACCCATTACAGTAGAACCCCCATAATTTGAAATAATAGGGGCTCTAACCTTTTTAAATTATAAAATTTTACGAAATATGAGAGACACCTTCTCCCGAGAGGGATAAAAATAAACAACAGTACTGGTCAGTTATCTGCCCCAATCGAAATTTAAACATTATCTTGGATGTTTAAGCTTTTGTATCTGGCTCTTGACTTGACAGGTTTCTCTTTAGAGGTTCCTTTTGAGGTGCTTGGTCCAGGGGTATCTTATATAATGGCTCAAACACTGGGCGGTAGACCGTAGATGTGCACTCCACGACTGACCAACATGAACTGACCCTGGGCGTCATATATATTCGTAAATGTCTATTATAATCCAAATCTTCACCAAATATTAAAAAAAAAAAAATTAAAACCTTATACAGTATATATCATATTATTTTGAAATGTTTCATATTTCAAAATTTTGTAAAATAACTTTCATAACAGCAAAAAATTACAAATTATGAATGATATCAAATTTGAGGGGTACAAATTATGGGTTTTTTATTGTTTAGGTAATTTGTATTATTTATATTTTAGTATCTATAACATATTGCTAATATCTTTTTTATATATATTTCAGTGATTTTTTTTTGTACATACAGGGTATTATTTAATTAGCTATTGTTATATACTGTAGTAGTACTGCATTTTTTAATAAACACTTAGGATTTCTTCTTCCAGTAAACATATAATACAGTATATGTCATAGCTGTTCAGTAAATCATTTCTCCATTATATAGTACAGGTGCTCCTCCACTTACGAACGAGTTACGTTCTTGAGGCTTGTTTATAAGTCCAATTGTTTGTAAGTCCAACTTTACTCTTATAGATACCAAACATATTGTAAAAAATGAAAGGTTATGGATATTTAGTACAGCTATACCCTTTAATACAGCCTTAAAACCTGGCTCACTCTTCTCCTTTTAGGTAATGTTTGTTCTATCTCGAATTTTCTTCAAAATAATCCAGTCTCATCCATATTAAACACCTGTTCTGGCAGGTAACCCCCCTCAATGATGATGTTTGTATCTCTGAAAGTTTGTAAGTTGAACATTCTTAAGTAAAGGAGCACCTGTACAAATACAGTACACCTAACACAAAATATTTTTCTGCAGACCTTTTGTATGAGACTAAACTTTGATTATTGCTGGTTTCTCATCAACCTTAAATTAATTTTCTTTAATATCTTTTATATACATATACTGTATCTTCTGATGAGTGACATTTTACATGGTATAGAACTATTATCTTTGTCTTTGTTACTTTTCACCATTAACTAATAACTTAAGGTATTTTCATAATTTTTAACCTAAAGTAACAGTTTGGGCTTTCATTTATCCTTTTGCTTGTACTAACATTGTGGCTCTTCTGTTTACCCTCCCGCCACGACCTACCAGCCCCCGCCCACTACCTCTACTTGTTACATGCTCAACGTAAGTAGTGCGTAGTGATCCCAGGTCAATCCTTCCATGGCTAATCAGTGCTTAGTGATATCAGATCAACACCTCAAATATGTATCTGTAAAGTGAATAGAAAATTTAAATAAAGTGCACTAGTTTCATTAGCTGTTGACTAAGAAAAGTTGGTTATTGTCAGTTTAATACTGACTACACTCCTTCTTTCATTGATACATAAAAATAGAATTCAGTTCATTGATATTTTCATGAATTATTGAATAAATTGATAGACATTTTAAAAGGGATGAATTTTTCAGGCCTTAGAAAATGGAGATTTGGAAGTAAAAGTCACCTTTTAAGGCAGGAAGCTGGAATGAGTTTTAGATGCCACAGTAGCCTACACAACCCATTGTTCCTTTGTTTGTTATCATTCTTATTGGATATCCAGTAAGAAGCCTTAATTCAACCAATTGTTTAAGATGTTAGTACCTCCTCTCTCGTTTAGTGTTAAACTTTTAGAGCAGTTCAGTAATATATGCACAGAGATTCTAATTAGTTTCAAGGAAAATATCTGTCTTGCGTAACAAGGCTATGTTTGATGGGTTCAACTTCTCTTGGGGCATCACTGAGAAATTAACTTATGAGAGAAATGTCCCAGATGTCCACTTTTGCTCAGGGGTACCTTGCCAATGGATATGACTTTCAGGAGTGGGTCCTCTAGTAAGAAATAATGCAAACAAACTGTTTGAGTGATAGGAAGTAGAGTATAAGGTCAGCCTCTGATACTTTATTGTATTTTTTTTTAGTTATCTCCCTTCTGGGATGTTGGTCACAGTAGGTTTGGAGGTATTTCCTGCCTTTCCCTCCTTTCCTTCCACTTAGCATTAAACACAAGGGTCACTTTGGCGAGACATAAGGTTGTAATTGATGGATTGTTCCTGGAAATCCCATGTCATAATCAAGGTAAATCAAGAAGACTTAGAGTTCCTTCCTTCCTCCAATGGGTTTAACCTTACCTTCAGCTGAATTGATGTTTGTTATTAGAAATCCCATATGACCTTGATGAAGAAAGAAAGGCTGGGTCATGTGGGGCTACTGTGGTGCCTAAGAATCATTGAGGTTCTTACTGTTAAGAGTTACCTTTGCTCCCAGATTTCCTTTTAAGGAGTACCTGTAGTTGCAAAGGGGAAATGCAGTACTATTAATTCCTTATTAGTGCTCCCCATGAATGTCAAGGTTAGTCATGATTATCAACTCATTGACTGGATGGGTACAGTACAGTACAGTACAGTGCAGTGCAGTGCAGTGCAGTGCAGTGCAGTGCAGTACACAAGTTTCATTGTCCTGAATTGGTTATAAAATGAGAATTTCAGATGAATCCATTTTTACTTATTCAGCACATGAGTGGTGTTATACTGCTCCTAAGTCTGTAGGCTATAACCTAGAATTTTTCAATGACAGTCTTCCAGTCTTACAGTACAATACATAGTTTAACATTTATTTTATGTTCTGATAAGGAAAAGATTCACGTTTCAAGGGAATGATTTGTCTACACATCTTCCTTATGTTTTTGTATACAGTGTGTCTTGTACTTAAATGATGCAATTTATATAATTTGTAAACTTGTGTGAAGTTGTTTGTACATTACAGTATATATTTTAATGTGTCATATATTTGGTTTTCCTTCCTTCCTCTTCTTTCAATCTTAATTTCTTCCATTAACCTCTACTGCCACTCTTCTGCCTTGGATGTTGTTGCACGGTGAGTTTCTTTTCTTCTTTTATGGCTTGGAATATTTGTGCAGTATTAGGCAGTTTTGGGACTAGTGTGGCTTGTCACTCTATGTACCTTGTTTGTAGCACTTGTTGCTTGATGCATGAATAATTACTTTCCACTAACCAATTTTTGTCTTACCAGTTTAGCAAAATAGATAAATATTTTTTTTTTCATGGTGGCATTAACAGTGACAGCAGTGGTAGCATCTGTAATTGAATAACTGTATTGTGTTACAGGTTTTTGAGTGATAATCCTCCCTCTTTTTTTAATTCAAATTTCTCCATCTTTCCTACTCTTGCTGTTACCCCTCCTCCTCCCCCTTATCTTTGTCCTCTTTGAGCATAGAGGAAGCAAGAAAGGTTGAAGGTTTCAGGGCAGTAAAGGAGGGTAATCATCGGTGTCTTTATATTGAGTACACAGTATAACAAAGTAAAGATACTTCATAATTTCATAAGGAAGATCCAAGCATTCATTCACACCACAGACTACTAAGAGGCCACATTATAAATATCCACATTATAGGGTATAATCAAAATGACAGTGGGTGGATCTCAGCACCACTATTATGATACAGACAGAAAATACCAAGACACATAATTAAATTTGTTACTGGTATAGTATCTAATCTGGGTTTTTTTCATCAATAATCACATTGACCAGCTACATATTTTCTTTCACCCTCAACCAAGCTGCTTCTGCAATACTGAGCAACTAGCAAGAGGTCCTTGAGTCCATCAGATGAGGCCTTTCACTGTCAGCCTGGGTAATCTATTAATCCTTGGATACTGTACAAGGATAACCTTTCCCCATATTCTGTTGACCTCAAGTAAGGGGGACATGACTCCACTGGTGCTGCAAAGAACTGGAAGTCTAATTAGAGTCTTGATCACTGCAATCCTCCTTCAACATATTGCATGATAATTAAAGATTAGATAGCTGTTCATAATGTACTTGAAAAAAAAACCACTCATCCAATTTCACTTGTTTTCAGTTACAGTACAGTACAATACAATACTACTAATTCATTTCATGTAAGTTTTTAAAAGCAAATTTGTAATGCATTTTCTGTGATTCTAGAGCTTGAAATCATGAAGAATATTAACTTCCAATTCCAAGAAGTATAATAGGGTTATAATACCAAAAACCTTACAACTTTTACAGTATATTTTTTGCAAAAATGTTTAAGATTTACATATCTGCCAAACTATCCATAAAGGGACTCCTCAACCTGCCTCTTGAGGATCTAGGATCAAATACTGTATGATTGATTATGGTTATAGTACAGTACATAATTACCAATTGCAAACAAAAATAATAATAATATAATTATGATTTAGGAAGATTACACTGTTCCTTATTTTTATTTTATTTTTTCTGGTGTAGGTTAGTTTCTTGCTTTGCTGATGGTTCACTTGAAGTTTCTGAGGTGCAGATTGCAGTTAGTTCCATGGTGACTCACCAGTGTGCAAGTGATTCAGACTCCCATGGCAGATATTAGTAATGATGATTTTATTGTTATGCTTCTAAATCGGCACTGACTTGCATAGTACTGGTTCATGGAATCTTTGAAAAGACCTCACCTACCCCAAAGGAGAGTGTTGTGTCCATAATTTTAAGGACTCTAAAACTGAAAACTTAATACAAATTCTAGGTTAACACTAAATAAAGTGTATGTTAAGGGAAGGGTTAAAAGTATGGCATTTATTTCCACACAGGTGTACATATTGACTCCAAGTGACTCATAAAAAAACAGGTAACTTAATAGATACTCATAATACTATATCCCCAGGTGTTCATCATGAAGATACTCATGATTAAACCAAGTAGCTCACAGTTGCTCATAATGACTTTTGTGACAACAACTACCGTAGTCATATATATTTCATTGGATTGACATAAGATTGACCATGTTTAAATTGTCATTGTTTGGTCATGGCAACTTGTTTTATATCCTTTGAAATAGATAATCATAAAAAAGTCCTGTATGGTTTTGTTCTCATCATTGTCGTCATCATCACCACATGCTTACTTAGATCTGTTTTTCAAGAACTTCTGTTACAAAAGAATTAAGGACTTGTGGATTTAACTCAAATTTTTCTAAATCAAGTTTATGTCTTATGTGAAATATGGGTGGGAGGTGAGGGAGACATCTTCTCATCCATCCAAAAGCAAACTTGTAGTTTACAATGTGTTTAAGTATATTTTTTCAAACTTCTTGAAACAAAAAAATATATCCTGCAACAGAGCAGTAAGCAATTAAAAAAAAAACACCACTGTCCAGGGAGTTAGAATAGTTATTCTTTTTCTTGTCTATAATATTCATCTCATTACATTATATTCTACAATCCAGGAGTTTTCCCTTTATTCTTTTAAATTTTGACGTATAATGTATCCTTTATTATCTGTGATGTTTAGAGCATTGCATTTTCATGTACTGTATGGTGAAAAGCAGAGATATAAATTAATGAAGTCAATTCATTTGAGTACTGTGATCAAGTAACATATTTGGGTATTTACATTTTAAAAAGTATATACTTAAAATTTTCAGTATGGTATTCTAATACTTTTACTCCACTACAACTGAGAAAACAAAAATCATTACTCGTTACATGCCCCAAATAATAGTGTTTTAAATATCCATTTAAAAAACTTGGAAGTTAATCAATCACAAGCGTTTCTTCACGTCTGCTGCTTGTGAGTGCCTGTTTAGGCATATTGGACTTATATCTAGGCCTAAAAGATCCCGATTGGACAGCCATAATTTTGATAATCAGTTATTGATTAACCTCAATAGAAAGATTTGTAAATAAACATGTGTATTGCTATGTGTCTTTTATGTTTATCTTTAGTAAACTAGTATTTTATAATTTACTGTGGATTTATTTTAATATTTAAAACGATTAATAATCTTGTTGTTACTTTTTGCTTTCAGTACTTGAGTACTTTGTAAATTACATACTTTTTTACCACTGTAAGAATACTTTTACTTTAAGTAACAAAGTCCGGTACGTTTTACAACTCTGGTGAAAAGCCAAGTTTATATAAATACTGTACTTCAGTAGAACATCTACTGTAATTATTTATACAGTACAGTATTTATTCTGGTTGGATAATAATTAATGGAAGTACAGTGGTCCCTCGGTTAACGAACACAATTCGTTCCACAGTCGTTCGTTAACCAAAAATTTCATAAACTGAATCCATTGTTTCAATGGGATATTGGGTAATTGGTTCCAGCTTTCCAAAAATTGCATACAAAG